GTCTTGAAGAGATCCGTGTACTTGTCCATCTCCGCTTGGCAGGTCGCAAGCGCTGCATCCATTTTCTCCGCTTCCTACATGGGGTTGGTGATCAGCATGATACGGACAGCCCTCCAGCAGGCTGTACATACCGGCGTGCCAGGCTTGATGAGGCCTTTCTCGTATGCAAAGTCGACGTAGCCTGGATACTGCTGTATCGGGTCGATCCAACCGTTACCGATAGCGATACCGCGTAAAGGGTAGTTCGGCAGTATGGTCGTCTTGAGCAGTGCATTGGCTGCGAGTGTGGTTAGAGTCCGCGGCCGTTCAAGGTGTAAAAGGCTTACCAAAATACGGGATGTACTGGCCGGCAAAAGATTCTCCAGCGAGATACGTCTAGGGAAAGGATCAGCCTTCGAGCATCGCTGTCGCTTGTGTTCAAGCCATAACTCACATCGACGTTCCGATACTCTGGGAAGACATGGTAGAAGTTTTGCAGAAACTGGATGAGGTGTGCGGAGCTCTGGCAATCGAGCACTAATCAGCCAGGAGGTCAAGCAAGCTGCGTTATAGTGCCCTCACCTGGTCCAAGTCGTGCAGGTAACCGTTCGTGGGTATATAGGAGTACCCTGTACCAGGCGGCTGGTCGACTGAAAAACGAGTGTCAGTATGTCACTGATCATTTCGTGGCGTGTCGCAAGAGGACTTACTGAAAACGACCGTTGCAAACTCCTCCCAGCCGCCTTCCACCAGCCTGATCTCCACCTTGCCAGACTCGGTCTCGCTCGCCGGGACGGTTCTAAATGGCCCGACTTCCATCAAAGACCCGTCGAACGAGGAGCAACCAGGGCCACCCTGATTCTATCGTGTGAGCACTTGGTCGCGTAGCCTGGCTCGCTGACATGACGGTTAGAAAAACCCACATTAAACCAGAATATTACGCGTTGTTTTCCTGCCGCCCGTCTCGCCTTGATCATCAGGAAGCTGAACTTCGCTTCAGCCTCTATCTCGCCGCGACTTGCCAGTAAACTCACAAGAGTTGGGCGTCCTTGCCTGTGTCGTTGTCTCCTCCACCATTGCCTTCCCCCGGGTACGAAGGGAGCATACCAGCGTACACATTGAGCGGATGTCTAATGGATTGGCCTGGTCAGTATACAGCATGCGACGTCCAGCGGTCAAGTGCAGCTCACGTCGGATGACTAGCGAGGTTCTCGACTCCGGGCAGGGAAGGCACGAAGAAGTCCGCGGCAGTTGGAAGGTCTAATGCAGCACATGTCAGCTCGTGCAGGTATCTTGAGCTCGTACGGAACGCACCTTTGGTCTGCCTTGGTTCAGCCTTCATGGCGTCACTGCCCCGCTTCCGTTGAGCTTGGCTGGATGACTCGGCTGTCATGCCACCTCGCACTTCAAGCTGAGGCTGCGTGGATCGCACTCTCGCTTGGGACTCGATTGTCATCCTGTATAGCCCTGGTGCGTCTGCGAGAGCTTTGACCGATCGGGATTCAACCGGTATATGCGTATAGCAAGGACAACAATCAAGCGTGTACGTGAACGTGGACGTGGACGCGCCTGAACGTTATCGCTCCGGTTCAGAGATCGGACGTGCCCGCTTTCAGGAATATGCGTTCTCGCGTGCTCGCGTGGGTTGGTCGTCGTCAAGCTACGGGGGCGGGCGGGGGCGGAACACTCGGATGAGAGCACTGCAGGCAGTGATGGGCGTGCAGTGGAGCCCAGGTCACAGACGTTCACGGGCCGTGATCCTGTCGACTGGGAGAGCCAACGGGCCATCGAGCGGGAAAGGGGCCGAGGGGGAAGACGGTAGGATCGAGACCATAGCTAAGCAGACAATCAAGCGAGGACCTGGCAAACACCAATACATTTCCATGTGATGTACCCAAGAGATATATCGAGACATTCAGCACCGCTACGAACACAGCTTTTGGCCAACGTCCGAAGGGTTTCCTATATAGTCTCGAGACATTAATCCGTCCGTCTAGAGAATCCCTTGAGCGCCCCAGTTGCGTCTTACACCGCAGTGACTGACAATGGAGTGCGGCAGAAGGGAAACCATCTTTTTGATGAAGAAGCTGGAAGAGAGAGGGAAAGGAAAGAAGATAGATGTGCGTCGCTGGGGGGTGTGCAGGGCGCGAGTGGGGTCTGTGGGTGCTGCGTTTGGCGAGTTTGGATGACGTGGCGTAGTCTGCACACCTTATCACATGATTCCTTATTTCAGTATCCAATGAGCCTAGAGCATCCACGTGGGATCAACCAGAGTGGAGGTCGACTGTAAAGCAAAAAGTTACAGGACGGCCATATGAGCCATTGTTGACACCGCCCTGCTCGAACAGCCATCATCCATCACCCACCATGACGTACCGATCCCGCTCAGGAGGACCGGTGAAGAAGCGTGGAGGCACCAAACAGACTCACACCCGGAAACTGCATCACCCACCGCCACCTCCGCCCGAAGAAGCTCCTCCACCCCCTCCGCCCTCCGCTACCCCTCTACCGCCCTCGCTCGAGTCGGGACCGTTCAACCCGCCCGATTCGGAGATCCTCGCCCTGCTGCATCGCGCCCTACACTCCAGCTTGTCATCTGACGCTTTCGTACCGACCGTTCAACGCATCAAGGGGCTGCTGAGGGATAAGAAATGGTTGGACGTGTTCTGCGGTCCCGAGGGGGTGCTGGAGAGCTATGCGGGGAGATGGGTGCCGTCGAGGGTGTGCGCGTTCAGGGAGTTGATGAACCACCTGGTGAAGGATGTGTTCACGGGAGATGTTCCGGAGCTGGATCTGGGCATGGACAAGCTGGATCTCGGGGATGAGAGCCAAGAGGAGGACGAGGAGGAGGCGGAGTCGGCGGAGGAAGAAGGAGGCGAGGATGAGTTGGAAGGTGAAGAAACAGACGAAAAGGCTTCTCAGTCAAGTGGCAGCCCTCCCCCGGCAACACCAAGTGACACCGCCAGGCGGCCTACCCATCACATCCTTTCCCTTGGCGGTGGAGCCGGGTCAGAGCTGCTGGCGATAACCGCCCTCATCCGCTCGGTGCTTCTGACTCGACCTCGAGCCCACCCCGACTTCACCTGGACAGGTATCGACATTGGCAACTGGTCAAACGTGCTACAAAAGATTGAGGATGCCGTCCGGGTGGACTGGAAGATCGACGAGGACCTGCTGAAAGTCGAGTATATCAAGGGTGATCTCGTCGCACCCCCTGTGAACAGCAATGCGCCGAGCGAGGGCATCGAGACGACCGCCACTGCGACGGTCGCTGCGGGACCTATCGACCTCGCCGGTATCATGACCGCCAAGCCTCCCAAGCTCATCACCCTCCTCTTCACCCTTACCGAGCTTCTCGCCCAGTCCCGCCCTGCCACCCTCGCTCTCCTCGCCACTCTCACACGCAACACGCCCGTGGGCGGCTTGTTCCTCGTCGTCGACTCTGCATCGGATATCTCCGAGTTCTCGCTCGGTCAAAATGGCAGGAAGTGGCCGGTATGGATGATCGCAGATGCCATGCTGGTCGGCACCGGCAAGGGGTGGGAGAAGGTCAGGGAGGAGGATAGCAGATGGTTCAGATTCGAAGAAGGGGTCGGAGCTGGATGGCCCGTCAAGCTGGAGAACAATCGATACTGGTACCGGCTGTACAGGAGGGTGTGATTCACGCGCGATGGTTCAAACGCATATTGCATGTAGATTACGTTTGTATGTATACAGTATCGCAGTCGACCTCAGGCGAGAGTGCTAGCTGCACACGCTGGTGCGATCGGTGACAAAGGTAGGCGGTGCGACCGGCTTGTCAGCCGCAGCGGTCTCCCGCTTGATAATCTCTTCGAGTAGCTGCACAACATTATGGTAAGCGCTGTTTCCGGAAAGGCCTGGTGCATATCCCACTCACCTTGACAAACTCCTCCTCGCCCATGGCGCCCGAAGCAGCGTACTTGTCCTGGAAGACAAAGAATGGCACCCCGGTGATGCCCATCTTCTGAGCGAGAAGATACGCCTGCTTGACCTCGACATCACATTCGTCTCCGTTCAGCCAAGCCACGGCGGCGTTCTCGTCGGCGAAGAGGCCGTGCTTGACGGCCACCGATGACAGCCAAGACTTGTCCGACGGGTCCTTACGGTGACAGTGGAAACCTTCCAGCAACTCCATCGCGAGTGGTAATTGATGGTCCGGGTCCTTCAGCAGGGAATACGTCTGTAATCGGTGCACGAGATGTGACGAGGAGATCGTCCCAGAGAAATCCCTACAAACGCTCAACGTCAGACATCGCTCGAGGTCACACTCCAGGTCACCACCCAAGCACTTACGGCTTGTAGCCCAGTGCGCCAAACTTCTGGTGCATCATGTACTCCATCGCCTTGGCCTTCTCCAACGACCCAAACTTCTTGACATACATCATCCTACGGTCCTCTGGCGTTTCCGTGAAATCCTGTCTGAGTCGGTAGGGGAGTAGGCGTATGGCGAAATCGGGAGCGTCGGGGTGAGTGGACTTGTAGGTGTCAATGGCTGGGTTTTATAGGTGAGCTCTTCCTTGTTCTCCGCCTCGATACTAGCGCCATGTACACACCATTGGTCATCTGCTTGACTCCCAATAAGCAGAAGGGACAGATCAAGTCCGACTAAGCGATTATGACTTGTCAGTTCAACACTTCCAAGTCCAATGCGGCAGACTAATTTGGGCTCACAGTAATATCAATCTTCATGACATTCATGGTGCAGATTCGTGCGGTCGCGGATGGACGACTCTTAAGGGCCAGGTGTGCCGATAGGTATCTCGAGATAGCAGGTCGAGGTGACCAAGCAGAGGCAAGAATCGTGGCGACTTGAACGAAGCGTCTCGCGCGAAGGCTAGGAGTGTGCGGGCAGCGAGCGTGATATGTAGAAGACAGCTTACTATATATCCGTTGTATGAAAAGGTGGCGACTGACTGGGAACGGCTTAGTCAGAAGACGGCATGACGTAAAAAGGATTACCGGAATATGGGCACCGGCCCAGGTTCGGTAGAAAAAAGATATGACCAAAGCGTGGGTCGAACACGCGATCTCTTCCGCAGGCGAGTTGAGTCGTCTGTAAAGGAAGCGCCTTAACCACTGGGCTATTCGGCCTTCCTTTCAGGTGTTTTTGCCGTCAATATATTACCTTGTGACATGGAATCGAGGCCAACTCTTTCCTTCGCTGACTTTCTTACAATCCTTATGAAGCCGGTCCGTTATCTGCTAGCACACCTATGCCTTCGCGGATCTTGATTTTTTAAGACATTCAACGGACCATGTGGGATGCGATGACGACGGGAATGTTCGCGACCAGTCATCCTTGATACACAGGGTTTCTCTCTCGCTCTCTTTCCTCGCTCTGAGTGTCAAGGTTTCCGGCCTTGACATTTGTTCATCCTCACCGCGCTCGAGCCTTAGTGGTGTGGGTGCAAGCTCGTGAATACAGCGGTAAACGGAGTATAATTTGGCTGTTCTGACCATTAACAGTGGGCATTCGAAGGCTCATCGATATCGCACTAGACAAATATAATGACGCCCAATCGTGATGATGCTTTAGGTCCCCCTCGGACCGGACTGTGCGCTTAGAGTCTCCTGTTCCGATACCAAGAGGACAAGCTAATGACGTCCGCTTACTATGATGATGGCGCTACTCATCCAGACAAGTATCGATTGCGAGACACAGCCGTGGCGGGATTCCTCAGGACAACGGGAGGTAGATCTATCCATCAGAGTGGCAGCCGCAGATACTCGCTGTCAGGCCTTGCGTCATCCCACTCAGGCCAGAAGGCCACCGCACGATACGGCTTTCCTGACGAATTTGACCATGTTTCACAAACACTTCTCGGCAAGCAAGTTGTACCATCATAACATCACCACGAAACCGATGTTATCTGGTGGATGTCACGATGGCCTTCGCCTGCACGACGCATGATATACGAGCCGATGGGAACACAGATATTTCCTGAATTCATCCAGCCGGGATTGAAAACATAACGGAAACAAAAATAAAGGCCCAAAAAAGTGAAGCTGACAGGACTTGAACCTGCGACCTTCTGATATTCCACCAAAGCAGTTGGAATCAGAAGCTCTACCGAACTGAGCTACAGCTCCTATGATGACTGCTTGAAACAGCAACGTTTATGAAGCACATTTGCAAGCGTTTCAAGCAACATAGCCGGGCTGTCCTAGCGCTTGATATCACTCTGCATGGCCCGTCCAAGCATCGTTCCGGATACAGGCACATGCAAGGTATTCTACAAGCTGTTACATATACACCTAACTGAAGCCGCCCAGCTGACCTCAAGCCATGGCCGTTGAGCTGCGCTTTCTTATTCGAGGATGGGTCTATGGACTTCCATGAACAACAGGCCTGCGCAGAATGCGACGATGAGCAATCACGGTCACAGCTCGCTAGCCATGAATATGGCTTACGCTTCATGATCTCCCTACCCCGCTCGTCGTTCTCGCCTTCGAAGTTGAAGAACTCCGGTTCGAGTGGCTCCGCTCCCGGTTCGTCTGTGACATCGTGATATGGCTGGGGCGCATGAGCACGTCAGCAACCTATGATAGTTGGATCAGACCAGCATCGGACTGACCTCCAGATACGGATGCGCTAGAGCCTCTTCTACCGTGATCCTTCGGCGTGGCGAGAAACTAAGGGCACCTGTTTAGCGACACCCATACTCAATACGCACGAAAACTCACGTGAGACACTTCCTCAGAAGGTCAAGCGCCTTCGGACTGGCGGTAGGACAAAGCAAAGCAAGGTCTCTACGGCGCGTGAAGGGAAGCGTCCGCTGATCGGCGAGGTCAGCTCCAGCTACACATCGCAGTTGTGCAGCTTACCAGGTAGTCCTTAGACTTTGAGGCGGTAATTTCGTTGAAATCGTCCATCTGAGAGAGGATCAGTGTTGTGATTTGGCAAGACCACACGCTACTCGCTCACATTAGGGGTTCCCAATACGTTCAGAATCAGGGCAAGCTCTTTGAAATGGTCAGCGGCGTGGACGAACTCTCAAGAACAACTCACGATGATGGTAATCTATAGCCCATTGTATCAGCACTCGACTGATATGCTTCTCGCAGAGGACTTACCTTCACCAGGGAATAAAGGCTCCCCACGAACTGTATGCATTTGATCGGTCGACGGCCCAGTACAGCCAATCCACCCGACTCACCCATCTCTGCCAAAATGCAACCGATACTCCAAATATCGATGGCCTTTGTGTACTTTTGGAAGGCTACGGACTCGCTCATCAGATCGACGCAAAGCGTTTACATTGGACGCCCAAGCAGAAACTCACACAACATGACTTCTGGAGCTCGGTACCATCTCGTCGCAACATATTCAGTCATGAAGCCGTTAGCGCCGTATGCACCTGCATCCGGCTCCGCAGCCGACCGGGCGAGACCAAAATCACAGATCTGTGAAAGGACGATCAGCGTCTCTCACCTGACGCACAGGCGATAGGAGGCCCACCTTGAGATCACAATTGGCATTCAATAGAAGGTTGGACGGCTTCAGATCCCGATGTAAGACGTTGGCGCTATGCAGTGCTTTCAGTCCACGGATCGCCTGGGCAATGATTAGCTAGACGGTAAGTCTGCCTCTACGAACGCTTCTCACCTGGTAGATAAAGTATTGACAGTGATCGTCCGAGAGAACCTGCGACTTGATGACCCGGTGTAGATCAGTTTCCATTAGTTCCTGCAGAAGGATGATCAGCCTGTACCCCTCATAAGTGAAGCCGAGGACATACTTGGACAAGGTAGACCTCGTTAAAGTCATAGTAGTCACGCGGCGCGATGATGTCCAAGATTGCAATGACATTCTCATGTCTGGGCTATCCATCAGCCTGAGGCCTCGATGCCATGGTCACATCACCCACGCGGGACTCACCGGAAATGCCTAAGCAGCTTGATCTCCCGCAGAGTCCTTTGACAGAACATGACATGGGTGAACGGTGCGATCCGTTTGATAGCTACTCTCGTGCCAGACGCAACGTGGGTCGCGGCTCTGCCAGGGAGAACAACGCGAAAGCGATGAAGCCATCGTCAGGACCGCAGAGTAAGGACTGACCAGACACTACACTCACACCACGACACCGTATGCACCGTCCCCGATCACTTCCTGCACGTAATAGTGCTCGGATACATTGAAGGGGATGGTAGTGGGGTCCACTATCACTTCCTGTTCCTTTTCATTCTCGTCTGACATGGTCGGTGAGGTGGTGATATGAGGTTACTGCAGATAGGATTGCTGAGAGATCGCGGACCGGCCGTCTGATGCAAAGTTATATCGATGCGATGTGTGAAGGCGTCGTCGAGTGAAATGCTATGACCCGCGTTGAGACTGATCGGAGTGAGTTGATGCCGGTCGATGTCTCCTATCTATAGCTGAAGGGATACCAAGAGACGATCGGTCCGTGCGGTTCGGCCGCTGAGGGCTGAGAGAACAATAGAGACACGACAAGCAGATGCAACCCACAATCTCTGCCTTGTCCTTCGCTTCCTGGGCCTGAACAATAAGCTCCAAGCTCTCAGACACTTTCAGACGCGAACCGGTGGAGGCCACGCGACGAGCTGCTATGCGGATGACGCTGGAGGCGCCTGTTCCGTGGCGTCCATAGAAGCATCTGTCACCTCAAGCCCAGTCCAGATGCATTGGCAACGGCCTATATTAACATACACTACACGACGTGAAAGCTACTGTCTCTTCTCTCTGACAGGAGAAGCCGAACCGTTGCCCCGCTCGATGTAACCCGCATTGGTAGGGTCTCCATGTGATCGGATACCCGTCTGGTCGACCTCGCTTCGGGCTAGTTCCAAAAGCGCACCGAGATCTCTGGGACCGACAAAGTGCTTGCGTCCGTCCACAATCCAAGTGATGAGGGAGACAATGACTATGGGAGAGTCATTAGCCCAAGCCGCTTGGCCGGAAGACGTTCCGTTAGACTCACAGACAAACGCCAGTACTGCTACAGCATAGTTCATGTTTTCTCCGGTGACAGGTAGATCAGGCGGGAAAAGGAAGAAAACGGTGGTGAGCACAGTAAAGCTGAGACCGGTCTGGGTGTGCAAGGGATTAGTCAGCATTACATCAAAGGCTCGTAACGGTCAAGCTCACAATGTTGGCAACCGGTCCCAAGATCGGGCCCAACGTCCAGGTGGGTGCCGGAAGCGAAGGGGGCCTCAGGATCTTTCGACCTCTGCATACAACGAGCAGGACTAATGGGCGAGCTGATCAGTTACATACCATGACTGAGGCACAAGCTACTCACTGGGGATCGAGTACGAGATATTCAAGAACACGACCGAGCTGGACAGGATAGCGTTCAACGCGGCGCTGGAACCAAGGTAGATACAGCCAAAGATGATGACCAAGGCGGTGGTGAGCAGGACTGAGGGGATGGGTACGCCGTTCCTGTTCATAATCGCGAAGACCCTTGAGAACGGTAGTCCACGGTCACGAGCAAAGGCGTATGACATTCGCGACGAGGCGGTAAGCAGACCTTGGGCGGTGAAGGCCATGGCGATGATGGGGAAAATCTGAAGGCAGACCGCTCCGGCCTTTGAGCCGGTGGCCTGGTACATCGATTCGAGCAATGCACCAGCCGATGACGAATTGACAACGGTGACGTCCTTGATGCTGAAGAGCAGGCAGATGAGAAAGACGAAGGAGCTGGAAGCGCCGATGCACACGGCTGCGATCATGGTCTTTGGCGCGTTGATGTGCGGGTTGGGCATCTCTTCTACCATGTGCGAGACGGCATCGTAACCGGTCAGACCAAAGGAGCCTGGTTGTTGTCAGCCATCAAGCGCGAAGGTCTCGACACACTGCAGCACTCACTCTGCAGCAATCCCAAGAGCCAGGCAACCCCGTTGTTCCAGCCGGTCTCGTTGATATAGGTCCGGAACACAAAGTCGCCAGACTGGAAATCGGGAGAAGCCGTCGCCAGGCAGGTGATGATAATGACTACCGCTCCAGTCAGGGACCTGGGGGGCAACTCGATCAGCAGTGCACGTCGACCGGAATCCGTGCGCAGGGGGCTCACCAAAAGATTGCCGTTTGATTGATCTTGGGCAGCAGTCTCAGGCCAAAGATGTTGAGGATACAGGCACCGATAGTGTACACGATGTAGATCAGGAAGATGTTCCACCTTTGCACTTCGTAGTTTGGGTGCAGTAGAGCGATCACACCGGTGATCAAGCTTCCTGCGAGGGACCCAGCGGTCGCTGTCAAAGCGATCCATCCGGCCACGGCAAACCACCCGCAGATCCAGCTGATAGCCTGCAATCATGTCAGCGATTTGTCCAAGCGATCAAACGCGATGGTGCCAGGTGCAGGACTCACAGGTGCCATACGAGCGGGAGACAAGATGGCAGCCCAGTGGTACTGCCCGCCAGAGGTAGGGTACACATGGCAGATCTCAGCCATACTGGCCGCCATGGCCAGGTTACCGATGAATGACGGGACGATACCCCAGATTACCGCGGTGGGTCCACCGGAGGGTAGGGCGATAGACAGAGAGGTGGCCATGGCCGTCCATGAGTTGAGGATGGCGTAGGCCAAACCGACTACAAGTTCAGGTCAGTGAGGCTGTCTTCGACCTCGATGCAGCTTCTCCTCCCGCACTCACTCAGACTTAAAAGTCGGAACTGCTTTCTCCCCTCGATCAGGTTGGGATCCGTCTGGCCAGTGCCCAGCTGTGGTCGGGACGAGTATGGTCCTAGTCCATATTGTTCGCGCTGGATGGACTCGTGCACCTCTTGCCTCGAGTACGGCCCCTTGGGACCTCCTTGTTGTTGCTCCACAGGCGTGGTCTGAGCCGGTACAATGCTGTGCGAGGGGTCAGACATCCTTCCTGATCTATTTGGCGCTGCTGCCGCTCGGTCCAGAGGGTTCGAGGGGTGTGAAGTTGTTTGCGAAGAGGAGTCAAGACCCGCTGTTGCTGCTGATGAGAAAGTCACGACCAGGCCAGTGTGTCCAGCGCTCGCTTGCTTATCGCCTTCCCCGTATCAGTCAGGATGTAGCCCCGCTGTCGAGTCAAGTTGGACCTTACGCGCTAGCCGAGGTCCACAGCTCTTGTGACCGGTAAGCTGCCACCGTA